CACAAGCTTTTGACACTTGTAATGAACATTGAATGGATGAGATTAGATGAGATATTTAAGTAAAAAAAAGGGGAATAAGGATGCATTTTTGGTGCATCCCGTAGCTGCCATAAAGCCAAGAAAGAAAGAGTGAAAGAGAGGGGAGAAAGAAAAAAAAGGGAAGGAAAAAGAAGGGGAATCAAAAAGGAAGCAAAAGAGATTTTAGGAAAGTTAATCCAATGTAAGTAGGTTTCATTTTTTTTCTTGCTTTGTTTATGCTTTCCTTGTTTATTTCATGAGTTATTTAATTCATGTGAAATGTGATTATGGTATTTGTGATGATTTTAAACACTTGATGTTTGATGATGGATGGTTAAGCATGTCCGTTGAGAAATGTGCTTTAAGAGAAGATTTTCGGATTTTAGGTGTGGAAAAACCAGAACTTGGTGTGATTTATTTCGGTATCCTAGAGTGATTTTTAGAAAAAATACAAAGAATGAAAGTTGTTGATATATGTGTCTACTATGTTCCTTTAAACGTTCGTGACTTTTAGAGATATATATATGGAGTTATGACTGAATTAGTATGGATCGTTCGGATGGAACCTCTACTGGAAAAATATTTCATTCCGAAAGTTGTGTGATTTATTTCGGGATCATAGAGTGGTTTTTGGGCAGAACTCAAAGACGGAAAGTTTTTTATCTATGTGTCTACTTTATTTATCTAAAATTTCATGAGTTTTAGATCTGTATGTAAGGATTTATGACGGATTTGGCATGGGTCATTGAATGGACCAGCTACTGGAAAAGTTTATTTAGTTCTGAAACTTGTGTGAATTATTTAAGGCTTTTAGAATGATGTTTGGAGGAAACTTAAAACATGAAAGTTGTTGATCTATATGTCTAATATCTCCTCTTAAAATTTCGTGAGTTTTAGATATATATTTAAGGAGTTATGGCTGGTTTGGTATAGGTTGTTTAAGTGTGCCACTCGCTGGAAAATTTTAACCTAAAATAAATGGGCTTGGACTTGAATTAAAATGAGATGGGCTTGGACTTAAAAATAAAGTAGACTTAGATTAAAACAAATGAACTTGGGCTTGAATTAAAATAAATGATCTTGGACTAATGTTAATGGGCTTGGACTTGAATTAAAATGAGATGGGCTTGGACTTGAATTAAAATGAGATGGGCTTGGATTTAAAAATAAAGTGGGCTTAAATTAAAACAAATAGAATTAGGCTTGAACTAAAATAAATGGTGTTGGACTAATATTAATGGGCTTGGACTTGAATTAAAATGAGATGGGCTTGGATTTAAAAATAAAGTGAACTTAAATTAAAACAAATGGAATTAGGCTTGAATTAAAATAAATGGTGTTGGACTAATGTTAATGGGCTTGGACTTGAATTAAAATGAGATGGGCTTGGATTTAAAAATAAAGTGGACTTAGATTAAAACAAATGGACTTGGGCTTAGACTTAAATAAAATAAACTCGGGTAATGGACTTGGACTAAAATCAAGAGGCTTGATTTTAAAGTAGATGGGCTTAGATTAACGAAAATGGGCTTAGGCTAAAATAAGTGGACTTAGATAGAAATAAAAAGGATTTTAAAATTCTAAAGAAAATTTATTCTTTCGTAGAGGAATTACAAAAAAAAAATTGGACCTTCTTTAATTATTAATGAAACTAATAAACAATATTAATGAGCGGATGTTGTGTTTCTGCTATGAGTACCATGAATGGTATGTGAGCGCCGAGTGAATTCCGAGTGATGGTTGGACCGTGAGTATGGCTTAAGAAAGAAGGGTCGGTACCCGAGATTGGTTGAATGTGATTAAACATGTCATCACGTGCATCATGTGCATTGGGGGTGGAAATAAATTGAGAAAAATCATTGAGTCTTGAATTGATACGGTTTGGTAACCGAATTGAGTGGATTGGGTAATAGCAAGGAATCCATAGTGCGAGCTCTATTTACTAGCACCGTTAAGCGAGGGATAATTCCGCTAACCGTGTGCTACAACGAGGGAGAATTTCGTTGCGAGCGATAGGTGATATTGAGATCACCGAGAGAAAGTAATAGAGCGAGTAGGTGATAACATGATCACCGAGAGATTTGGCGCACGGACTTGCATATACCTAGGGTACCGGATTAAAATGGATGAAAATATGGGAAACACAATAGCATTGCATATCACGTGCATCACCCTACTTACCGAGCTTTGGCTCATTCGTTATTGTATTTGTGTGTTGTTCAAGCAAAGGCAAAGTTAAGTCGATCGAGGATGCTATCGGTTCTCGCTAACAAAAGGCTCATGTGTCACTCATAAAAATAGAAATATCTTTTGTGTCATTAAAAAGGGATACGGGCATAGGTTGTAAATTTTAGGCATTTTGAATATGTTATAAATTATAGAACTATCCGTACTAATGTTGTAAATTATATCATACGTTTCCCATGGTTTAGTTTCGTTGTGTATGATGGAGGAAGTAGGGGACTTAGTCCCAACGAGTGTGTCGCGCCGGTCACGCTTGTTAGGTAATAGGCAAGGGAGCCGAGGGCGTCACACCTACCCATAAATAAACTAGGTTTCACAAAAACAAACACTTATATATATATATATATATATATATATATATATATATATATATATATATATAGAGAGAGAGAGAGAGAGAGAGAGAGAGAGAGAGAGAGAGAGAGAGAGAGAGAGAGAGAGAGAGAGAGAGAGAGAGAGAGGTATTAAAATAAATATTCTAGTACAATATTTTCTATTCTCGTAAAATCAATCATCATTACAAGTAAGACTCATTCAAAACTCTACGCATCAATACCATATTCTATGTGAACCCTAGTGAAGTTTAAAATAACTTCCTCTAGTGATTCCATTTTTATATAGTAAAAAAACAGGATAACTATATTTTTTTCAATCAAGTATATAAATTTTAATTTTTTTTATTTGAATATATATATTTTTTAAATAGTCAATAAAATATTTTTGTTAATTTTTTCGTTACGTGATAACGTGTCCTTTCACTCTAAAATAGTAGATTATAATTTTTTTTTCTTAATCGAGTACATAGATTTTAATTTTTTTGAAGCAACATTAATTTTTTAAAAACTATCAATTAAATATTTTTATTAATTTTTTTATGAACTAATAATGTGTTAGTTATAGTTTCGATGGTAGTAAAGGAAAGAGTGAATAGTCTGCTTTGTTAGCCCCGATTGAGTTCGTTCCTCTCTAACTTATGGTTCAGTTACCTGCCTTTGAACCTACACTTTCTTCTTGCTGATACCGGTGCACCTTCTTCGGTAAAGACTATTTGCTTCCCTTTTGACTTTCCTTAATGCTTAGAATCACATTGGATATTGTAACAACAAAACCAAAATACCAAATAACAATTTTGCTTCTTTTTTTTTTTAATCGGAGGAAACCTTCTCTTCAAATGCTTACAAGCAATAAATCTTTTTGATAAAAAAAATATCATGTTTTCTTTTAATTTTCATGCCTAAATTTAATTGAGTTATTTTTTTAATAGTAAATCTAATTAAGTCTTGTTTAAAGTTTTATTGTTAACTAAAAATATTTTCTTTCAATTCTTTGTCAAATTTTGAAATGGTGGATTAATTTAGGGGGAAATTTCCCTATAGAAAAAAGAGGAAAAAGTTTTAATTTTATATTTTATGAACACTTTATCAGCTTAATGAAAAAATTAATGGAAACACTTAGTTGACAATTTTGAAAAAATCAGCATACTAAAACAAAACAAATTAAAAAAATTAAAGTATGTGTACTCGATCGAGAAAAATGATAAAATTATAATTTGATATTTTGAAAATAACAAACATGTCACTAGTTAATAAAAAAATTCATTAAAGTATTTGATTGGGTAATTTTTAAAAAATCGATGTACTTAAATGAAAAATAAATAAAATTCTTGTATTCAATTAAAAAATTGAAAAAAAAATATATTGATGTATTTATAGTGCAATTGTTCCGTACCAAAAAAAAAAAAAAAAAAAAGACTTAAAATTTTGGTGTGGCAATATCAGGAATAACTTATAATTTTGTGTTTTTGTTTCTAATAATTTTGTAAGTTAATCCCTATTTTTTTTAAAAGTATAAGTTAATTTCTTGATCAAAAGTCATTGCTAATTTTTTTTATAAAAAATTAAAATTATGCTTTTCAAATGCATTTAAAATTTTTTTTAATAGGTAAGATTAGAAAATTTGATTGAGTGAAAAATATTTTAAACAAAAAAAAAATTCAATTGTTTAAGAACCAATAAAAAACCAAATAAATATCAAACATAAAACTTTTTAACATTAGTTTTTTAAAAATAAAAGAATTATCTAATTATTTCATTAAAAACACAAGTATCTAATAATAATTTACTCTAGCATTAAGAGAGGCCGAGAGATAAAATGATGCGAGCCCATTGGTAAAATGAGAAGCGAGGTAAATTTGTGTGATGGGTCATGTTGAAAGACATGTGGATAGGAAATGTTCTCATTTTAGGAATAGAAATATATAACAGACAGCATCAGCCTCTTCTTGGCTTTGAACGAGAAGAAACCATTCTGAGTGAAGGTGGGGAAATTTTTTGATTGTGGTTGAAAATTGGTCTTTACACTTTTGGTCAAAGCAGAAAACATTGAATGACGGACAAGGTTGCCTTCCACTTGCATTTTAGTGAAATTTGTGAATAGTAGCTGTCGATGTTATCTTGCCTGTGGCGGGAACTGAAGCAGGAAGCAATCAGTCTCCATCACTTTACAGTGCAGTTAAATAATTGATGTCAGTGAAAGAAACATGTATCAGTATTACCGAATTCTGAAATCAATTTTTATGTTTTTGTGATATTCGTTGAAAATTTTGTCTATTTTTTATTTTTACAGTTTTTCTTTTTCTTGTGCTTTTTCATTATTTGGATATAAACAGGCGGCCAAGAATGATTCGTTGTCTTGTGTAATGGGCTGATCATACCAGTCTCCTCCAAAAGATTTAAGAGATGGTTGGGCCTAGAAAATGTATTGGGTTGACCTATGTAATTGACAACATGCAGAAGAAGACCAACCGAACCCCAAAAACACGAGAGAAACATAGCACAGAATCGAGTAAATTATAAAAGTTTCGAGAAATGAATTAATTAGCCTCTTTCTTTTAAAAATTTATTTATTTAATTTTTATATTTTTAATTTAATCCGTTTCTTTTTTTTTTAATTTTTTTAAAGAATAAAAAAATAAGTAAAAATATGAAAAGATTAATTATGAATAAAAATAATATTAAATTAAATATGATCAATACCAATTAAATGACTAAATAATTAATTTTTGAAACAAAATAAATAAATAAATTTATTTTTAGAAAATGAAAGGACTATTTATAATTTATTGAATTTTCTATCACAATATATACGCATAGAAAACGTAAATCAGACTTTCTTTGAAATAAATACGTATTAAACCTATAGTTTACTCATATGTTTGTGTTCAGCTATTAATTTTTTTTGCGTATTTTAATTTAGTTTATTTGCTTTTATTTTATCTAATTTCAAATTGATTAAAATCAATTGCTAAAATTTGTCTGAATCAGATATTAATTTTAGATTTCGTGACATTGAGTTGGTTTAATCAAAGAAGAAAGACAAAGTGAAAAAAGAAAAAAACAATAAACTGGAAAGATATTAAATGAAACAAGGTGAATTGAGATATTATTTTATATACATATATAACGAGTTACGGAGAGAAGTAAATTGGATATGTCCCACGAAATGATGGAGAAATATTTATTTGAATTTTGGACTAAAAAATACAATTAACATCAAAGGTATTAATATTGGGATTGTTTTGTCTCTTGTACAAATTTCAATCTTCCTTGTTCAAAAAGAAAGAAAGAAAAATCAGTTTCGGGATGCTTTTAGTATTATAGCAATAATGTACATCATTACATAATTATTAAACAATACAGATTGTGTGTATAAATATATTTTGAAAAATCTAGAAAACTAATGTTGGTATGGGTCAAACCAATAAATTTGAATAAAATAATAAAAAAATTATTAAATCCAAATTCAAAGATATTATTAGTATCAATAACTACAATAGGAAAGTATATTTATTAGTTTACTCTTTATTCACATTGCGATTATTAAATCTTATTTATTTACATAACAATAACTACAATAGCAAAGTATATTTATTATCAAAAGCCAGTTCAACCTCGTACGACATCAAACATTTGTCCCTGACGGGTTTGAAAACCTTGGTTTCAGGCTTATTAGTGACAAGACAGTCCATCCAGAAATGGACAACTCTTTCAAATGATACATGCAAATATGCGTCCACGAACCAGATGAAGATCCCTTCGCAAGTTGGCCGGGCCAGGAATCCGTGACTTGAAGTGTTGAACAAGTATCACCCTGTGACCTCATCAACTGGGGATCCGGAAGTCCATGATAGGCCGATCACCTCGGGTGGGTGAGGCTGCTAGGTTTGTGGTGGTCAGTAAATTAGCCAATCAAATGTGCAATCTTCAAACTAAGTGCAAAAAAGGGTTTGAAGGAGTCCAAATCTATGCAGAGGCAGAACTTGAGGCATGGCATTTAGAATATCGTAACTATTAACTACAGTTAGCGAACCTTTCCATCCCTTCTAAGATGCATATTTAGTACATTCTTAAAACACATTCACCGAGCTTGCCAATCATGGAAAAACAAGAAAAAAGAAAAAAAAAAGGAAGTAACAATTCCCTCAATCACCAAGTAATAACCGTGATATGTATTTGGAATAATTACAGCTTCGACCATCCTATCCTTTTGTAACCAAATATTTCTAGCATGCCCGCATTAGCCATTCTTATATCTTATCTTACGAATTAGACCGTTATGTATATTTTTACTCACTTTACAAAAAAGAAGAAGTGCTTATTTATAGGCAAGTACAATTGGTTATTGTTGTTACAGTTTAGCATGGAAACATCTAGTAGAAGCAAGACGGTAGCCTCACGAGAGAGATGCTTCAACAAAAATAACAAACCGATTTTAAACTATTGCGAGAAAAAGAAGAGCATTTGCGAGAGAGGGAATCTTGGCAGCTTGAGCGACTAGGAAGAGAAGATAAAGTTTGGGTCGAGCTCCGAGTAGACCAAAATTGGACTATTTCTTTTCTTAGCCCGATTTATCTTGTATGAGCCCATGTGTGGCTTTTTCAAGTCGTAGCCCATTTATTTTGAATTTTTCTTTGGCTCTCGTTATTTATCACGCCCTCGCAAGTCGAAGAGTATACATCGTGTACTCCCGACTTGGCCAACATGGTATGAGGGAGGGCTTTTGTGAATATGTCAACAAGCCGACCTTGAGAGGAAATGGGAAGCAAATGAAGGACCCTAGCTACGATCTTTTCACGAACAATATGGCGAGTCAATTTCGATATGCTTAGTTCGTTCGTGAAAGATTGGATTTTCGATAATGTAGATGGCTGATTTGTTGTCACGATAAAGGTAGGAAGGTCAGGTATGAGGGATACCAAGGTCTTGAAGAAGGTAGAGTAGCCATTGGAGCTCGTAAGTCGTGGAGGCTAAAGCTCGTACTCGGCTTCGGAGGAGCTTTTAGAGATAGTGGCTTGCTTTTTGGACTTCCATGAGATCAATGAGGACCCAAGAAAGATGCGGAACCCCGTGATCGATTTGCGAGAATGCGGGTATATGGCCCAATCGGAATCGGAGAAAGCATAGAGTCGAGATGAAAGTCGCTATGAAAGAGGAGCCCCTGTCCGGGTGAGCTTTTCGGATAACACAAGATATGATGAATGGCCCGTATATGGAATGTTGTTGGTTTATCTAGATATTAGGAAAGTTGTTAAATGGGGAAGTTGATATCGAGTCTTGTGGTCGTCGGGTAGAGAAGTTTGCCAATGAGACGACGATAGAGATAATATCGAAAAATGGTTCCCCAACTGCAGGTGATACAAGTATTAGGCAACATAGGAGTGAACGGAGGTTTGGAATATAGAAAACCGGCTTCTTGAAGCAATTCGAGGGTGTATTTTCTTTGAGAGAGATTAATGTCGACAAAGGATCCGGTCGGTTCAAGACCAAGGAAATACTTAGCTGGACCGAGATCCTTAATTTTAAATACGAGCATCAAGATATTGCTTAGTGTGGTTGATGAGGGAGATAACATTGCCGACCAAAAGAACATCATCAACATAGACCGGGAGTATGATGAAACCGGAGGCACGACGACTTGATAAACATAGAGGGTTCGAATTGGATTGATCGAAGCCATTAGAGAGAAGGGGCAAATGAGAGCTTAGCATACCATTGTCCGTTAGCTTGCTCGAGCCCATAGAGGCTCTTCGAGACGATAAACAAGATCGGGATGGGGCAGAGGTAGACAAGGAGGAGGTCGTATACGGACTTCTTCATGAAGATCACCGTGAAGGAAAGCATTATTGATGTCTAACTCGGTGGAGGTGCCAGCTTTGAGAGGCGATCAAGGTTAGCAGAGCACGAATTGTAGTAGGCTTGAAAACCGAGAAAATGTTTCGTGTAGTCGAGGCCGACTGATGAGTGAAACCCTTGGTAACTAAACGACCTTTACATCATTGCAAGGTGCCATTGACGTTGAATCGGAGTCAATAAACCCATTTACAAGCGAGTGGTAGTCTTCCAAGATGGAAGAAATGTAAGTTCCCGAGTGTCATTTTCTTGTAAAGCATTTAATTCTACTTATGTGACGTCGATCCACTTTTGATGTTGTATAGTTTGTTTGTAAGTTTAGGTTCTATGAATGATGTGAGGGTAGTAGAGAAGGTGTGATGTGTGGGAGAAAAATTATGATAGGAGAGAACATGGGAGAGGGTATATAGGGAGGTATGATGAATTATAGGACAGTCATAGTCATGGAGGTAAAAAGGAGGTTTGGATGTTCGGTGGAGCGATGAGGTGGAGTTTGTTGTAAGGGGAGGTAAAGGTGGAGGCGTTGGGGTAGAGGTGGTAACGGAGTCATAGGGAGGGGTAGGATGTATGAAGGGCGGAATAGGAGTGGGGATGGTGGTCTCTGGTGGTGAGTTTTGGAAAGGGAAATGATTTTCATAAAAAAATTAGATCTCCGGATAGGAATGATTCCTGTGAGTCTATATCAAAAACTTTGTAGCCTTTTGTACCTATAGAAAAACCAAGAAAAATACATCTTCCGGCTCTTGTGTCAAATTTATCTCTAGATGCTTGTTTTTTGAAGTAAAATAGAGAGAGCCAAAGACTTTCAAAAAAGATAAATCACGGTTAGTTCTAAACATAACAAAATAAGAAAATTGTTGAGAGAGTATATGAGAGGGTATACGGTTGATGAGGAATACTGCATGTAGAACACGATCCGCCTAAAATTTTATGGGAAGATTAGCTTGAATTTTCAATGCTTTAGCAACATTTAGTATGTGTTGATGTTTTCTTTCGACTCTTCCATCTTGTTGAGGGGTTTTTATGCAACTAATCTTATGGATAATTTCATTTTCATGGAAAAAATCTATCATAGAGAACTCTAAGCCTTGGTCACTTTTAATACATTTGATGTGCTAGTTGAATTGTTTTTTAGTATAGGTAAAGAAATTTTTAATGTGCTACCTAGTTTTAGATTTGGATTTCATCATGTATAACCAAGTCATTCTACTATGATCATCCACAATGGTTATGAAGTAGCGATAGCCATGTAAAGAAGGAGTATGGTAAGGTCCCCAAATGTCAACGTGTATTAAATCAAAATAAGATTTAGCAAGAGAATTACCGAGTTAAAAAGATAATCGTTTTTATTTGGCAAAATGACAAACATCACATTGTGTAACATTATAAAAAGGAATATTAGGATGAATAATAGATAACATTTGTAGTCTATTATTAGAGAGGTGTCCTAGTCTTTAATGCCATAGGTCGTGTTGTTGAGATGTGACATTGCGAGAGAGATGAAGAGTTGATAGGAGATGGTGGTGAAAGATAATATAAGCCATTGGTTTGTCTAGCAAAACCAATTGTCTTCAAGGAGTGAAGATCCTGGATAAGGCATAAATGAGAAGTGAAGGTTAGTTGGCGAGTGGGATGAATATGTGAGTTTGCTAATGGAAATGAGATTGAAAGAAAATTTTGGAATATATAAAACATTGGTTAAAGTAATGGATGAAATGTTAATTGTTCCTATGTGTGTAACGGTATATATTGGCCATTGGGGAGCCTCACTGTGACTTCCTTAACCGTCACAAGATTGGAAAATAAATGAAGATTGCAAACAATGTGATTTGTGGCACCGTGAATCAAGGAGCCATGTGGATGACCATAGAGAAGAAAATGAAATAGGTGAGCTTATACCTTGATCGTCATTGAAAATGGTATTGATTTGAGAAGTGTATGTTGGACCATTCTTCGATTCTGAATTTTGGTTCAACGAGTTCATCGATTGACTATATTGCTTTTGAGTGAGGGTGAAACCAATGTTTGTCGTATCGGGTTACGTGGTAGAAATGGAGACTGGAGTCTCATTTTCGAAGGCTAGAGCAAAATGAGTTTCCACTTGATGAGCCGCTTTGAATCTTGATTTGGTATAATCCTTGGATGAATGTTGATTTGATCGAGGCATGGGTGAGAAATTAGGTGGGAAGCCATGCTTCTTGTAACATTTGTCTTCCATATGACCGGGGTTGTTGCGGTAGGTGCATATAGGTTTTTTATTCCGTTGGAAGGGTCTTCGGTGTCCGTTTTGGCAAAGTAGGCTTAAGGTTCGGGGGAGCTGGTTTGGTATGGAGTTTGGTGAGTGTTATGCGAGTTGTCTTTCATGTTGTGCAACCATGAAAAATACCTTTTAATATCCGGTAAACGATCCATCAATATGATTTGGGATTTCACGAGTAGAGTAGGATTCATTGAGTCCTCTTAGAAACCTTATGAGACAATCGGTATCCCGGTATGATTTGATAATTTTGAATGAATCACAAGTGCATTGTGGCTCATATTTGTATTTTGGAAGGGGTCTCAAGTTAAAAAATGCATCTCACAACGAGTTTTAAATGAGTGTAATAGTCGATATGTTGAGAGTACCTTATTGAAAGTTATAGATTTCTTCTGTAGGTCCGATATGCGGAAGCAAGCTCGCATGAGATAATCTTTCCTCTAAGTCCTTCCATACCTCCGAAGCTCGAGTCTAGCCATATTACACTGCGAGTTATGGAGTTTGACAAGGATCTCATCAACGAGGATAGGACCATTGTGTTGCACCTCTTCCAAGTACACATAGCTTGGATCATCTTTGGGTGGCATGGTAATGGTGCCATCAATGAACTTCAATTTGTTTTTGGATAAGAGAGCCATTCTCATAGATCTAGACCGGGAATGGTAGTTTGCTCCGATCAAAGGAGAAGAGACTAAGGTGAGAGCGGGGTTCTCATTTGGATGTAGGTAATAAGAGCTTCATTGTTTGTTCTTCCGGCCTTATGATTGTATGATTTTGGTTTTGGTTTTGGTTTTCATTAACATTTACATAAGAAGTATTTCCGACATGATGGAAGATTGAAAGGGAAACATCAACACTCTAAAGAAAGTGAGAGCAAAAGAAAAAAAAAGCTACGGAAAGCTTAACGGAAGATTTGACTAAAGGAAAGTATTGCTTCGATACTATGATAAATGGAGAAAAAAAAGTTTACATATATTTTTACTCACTTTACAAAGAAGAAGAAGTGCTTATTTATAGGCAAGCGGAGTTGGTTATTGTTGTTACAGACTTAGCATGGAAATATCTAGAAGCAAGACGGTAGCCTCACGAGAGAAATGCTTCAACAAAAATAACAAACCGATTTTAAACTACTGCAGAAAAAAAAGCATTTGTAAGGAGGGAATCTTGGCCGTTTGAACGATCGGGAAGAGAAGATAAAGGTTAGGCTGAGCTCTAGTAGACCAAAATTGGACTATTTCCTTTCTTGGCCCGATTTGTCTTGTGTGAGCCCATGTGTGGCTTTTTCATGTTGTAGCCCATTTGTTTTGAATTTTTCTTTGGCTCCTGTCATTTATCAATTAGTGAACCCTTCCATTCCTTCTAAGATGCATATTTAGTGCATTCTTAAAACACATTCAACGACCTTGCCGATCATGGAAAAAAAAGAAAAAAAAGGGAAGTAACAATTCCCTCAATCACCAAGCAATAACCGTGGTCCGTATTTGGAATGAGTACTTGTTCGACCATCCTATCCTTTTGTAACCAACATATTTCTAGCATGCTTGCATTAGCCATTCTTATATCATATCTTATGAATTAGACCATTATCGATTATGTTACTACTTGGCCTCTTGAATGTATCATTCAAAAAGCTTCCATTTCATTGAGTGACATCTAATATCATAATTAAAAAAATTTAGACCTATAACACTTTATGATCAATCATAACAATCCACGTATTGCACAAAAATAGCTTATTGGTTGAAAAGTGGAATAAAAAATTTATGTAATCTTAGTCCAAGTTTCACCTCTCATAGATATGCAAGAATCCTCTTCTCTATCTTTATAGGCTACTAATTGGATTCATGGGTTACGTTATAAATAATAATTGTATCGAATTAGCTACATATCTATTCAAAATTTATTATCCGATATTTATCCAAAGAATGTAGAACTGACTTCTAATCATAAAAGAAATAAAAATAAATACATGTATAAAGAAATTCCGAGTAACGCAAATGCCATCAACTAACTAAGTTAATTAGGAATACCCACATGGGTTTTATGACTTGGTCACAAAATATGGATTTTTGTGCCACATATCCACCAAATTGTTAGTTGGTAATATTATCATCAAAATTTAGAGCGAGAATAGGTTTATTATTATTATTATTATTATTATTATTATTGAAAAATTGAGTGAATGATAATAAATACACTAATTTCATATTAAAATTTTAGAAAAATAAGAGATACAAATCAAGATCACTAAGGAGTCAAAAAATATTGCATAGAGAGAAAAAACTTGCCAACATACTTAGCATTTCGATCACATTAAAATATACTATAAATAAGCCTATACGGCAATTTTACAATCAAAATATTATCGATGAAAAAGTCCCCACTCTGTTTTCTTCACAATAATCGTCGCCTATGCATAAAGGTCACCATTTTGGAGGAAACGAGTTTACTTTATCGAGTGACACTTTAAGAGAGTTTTGAGAAAACTATCCTCTTTTGTTAGAGAATTCTCTTTATATAGAAAACATGCATATTGATTTATAGCCAATACACATGTTGATTTATAAGCCTAATAACGACAAAACTACCATACAAAACTATCAAAATTAATACATAGCTAGTAAATCCTAAATTAAGGAAAGAATAAAAGATTTACAATTATAGTGAATTATTTGGCAAGCATAAAATCTATAAATTTAAATAGTTAGTTGACATTCCTTTAACATCCTCCTTCAAATTGATACTTAGTGGATATACACGCATCAATTTGTTAAGAAAAAATGATGGCGTTGATGGGTCATGGATTTGGTTAAGATATCCGTAAGTCGTAGAGTAGTGGAAATATGTGAAAGGATGATAACCTAACAATCAAAGGTATCTCAAATAAAGTAACAATCAACCTCTATATGCTTTGTGCGCTCGTGGTAGACGTGGTTTGCGACAATTTGAATGGCACTAATGTTATCGGCATGTAGTGGAGTAGGTTAAACCCGGGAGAAACCAAGCTTTATGAGGAGACCACATAGCCAAATGATCTCGGAGCTAGTAGCGGACTTGGTATGGTACTTAGCCTCGATAGATGACTTGGAGACACAATCTTGCTTATTGTATTTTCAAGAGATAAGACCATCACTAAGAAACATACACCACCATGTAGTAGATTTCCTTATGTCTTGCTAGCTTGCCTAATCAGCATCACATTAGGCTCGTAGTTGCAATGAAAAACCAATAGGACAGAATAAGCTACGACTTGGTGTGCCAAGGATGTATCAAATGATGTGGTGGATAACGGTAGGTGGAGATGCCAAGGTGCTTGAATGAACTTGTCGACGATGTGCACAATGTAAGAAATGTCCAATCGATTGATAGTTAGATAGATAAGACTACCAACTAGCTTATGATAAAAAGTAGGATGCTCAAGGAGCTCTCCTTCGTCATGTCTATATTTGACATTAATTTCCATAGGGGTGTCTACGAAGTAGAATGTGTGAGTCTTGCTAATTGAACCAAATCTTAAACATATTTGGTTTGATTTAAAAAGAGACCCTAGGTTGATGAAGCACCTCTAACCCTAAAAAGTAGTTAAGTTAGCTAAGGTCTTTCATGTGGAAAGTAGAATGTAATAATTTTTAAATCATATAGATTGCTTTCATATCCGAACTAGTGAAAATGATGTCATCCATATAAATAAAGACGACAAATATTCCATTGGAGGTCCTCTATAGGAAAAGAGAGGAGTCATATTGACTCTGTGTGAATGAAAAGCTAAACAGAGTGGTTTGAAATTTATCGAACCATGCTCTTAGTGCACTGTTTCAAACCATACAAATAACGTTTTAATTTGCAAACACGAGTAGTTAAGGTAGTAGGCATGCTAGATGGAAGTTTCATGTAAATGTCCTATTTGAGATCATCGTGTAGAAAAGTGTTCTTAAAATCCATTTGATGTAAGGGATAAGATTAGAAGGCGACGAAGGGCTAGGATTGTTCATACGATTGTCATCTTGTCTAATGGTGTAATTTTTCCTCATATTCTAGGCCATACTCTTGCTTATTGCCAAAAACCACTAATCGAGGCTTGTAACGGAGTCTAAGGAGCCATCGGAATGAAGCTTAATGGAAAATACCAACTTACTTCCAATGGGTTTCACGGATGAGTAGCATAGAACAACATCCTAATTTTGGTTTTTTTTAAGTATGAGAAGTTCTATTTCAATAGCTTTTCGCTAACGCTTATGCATCATTGCCTATTTATAACATGAGGGAATAGGAGTAAAAGACATGATAGCTATCAAGGATAAAGGAGAAGTGAAACCAAACCTATTTGTGATTCTACGAACCTAAGTACTTTCTCTACGATGGATAAGTGTAGTTGCTTAGAATAGAATCGGCGAGTTAGAAGATGAGTCGAAGAGGGCTCGAAGTACTAAAGATTGACTTGATGTGGAGCAAGATCATCTCTAGTACGTAATGAGAAGCTTAGCATTATCAAATTTGCGAAGGGTTAGTAAACAATGGCATAATAGAATATGAAGAGGAAGGAGGATCTTGATGAGTGGTGAAAAAAATACTAGTTTTTTTTAGAGAAAATTACATTTCTAGAAACTCGAATATGTTGCACATTTTGGATCATTGTAAAGATAAAATTTTTGATGTATCGAATATCCTAAAAAAGCATATTGGACTAATTGAGTCATAAGTTTTGTGCATTCATATGCGGGAAGATGAATATAACATACAACTAAACATACAAAGGTTAGAATAATTTGGAGGATGACCAAATAACCTAGTGAATGGAGATATATGACTCAATGAAGAAGAAGACAACTTGTTAATGAGGTGGACAACAATAGATAAAGACTCACATCAAGAAGGCATGGAAGACTCTAATAACGAGGTGCGAACAACATTGAGAAAATGAAGGTCCTTCCTTTCGGCCACCCTATTTTCGTTGAGGGATTAAAGGACAAGACCATTGTGAAATGATGCCATGAGTTTACAAAAAATCCCGAAACAAATTAGACATGTATTCACTCCTATTTTCAGAATATAGGATTTTT